GAATAAACAGAGTTGATTAAACTTTGTTTAAGTTTGAGTTGAGAGCTGAAATGCTTTAAAAAAGTATAAATTGGTTAATTTTTTTTGAAGCATGTACTTCCTTTTAAAACCAGCAGATGTAGACAGTTTCAAGAAAGACACTTCAATCTGATTTAACCAGCAGAATGACATGTGTGTGTGTGTGTGTGTGTGTGTGTGTGTGTGTAAGCAAAGTTCTCATGAATGCCTTACAAACTTAGACAAATAGTCCATGCTCAATGGGGCCTTCATTTTTTATTTAAAGTTAAATTAAATGAGTCAATGGAACAAACTTTAATATATTTATTATTACTTAAAATACAGCAAAACCTTTCCTGCACTTAAAACAATTGAGTTATTACATCAAAAATGTATTTCTGAGTTCCTTTAATTGATGGAAATGAGTGACAACAACATTTTTCTAAGTTTAAGCTATTTCAACTTATTTCTGTTATTAAGATTTACTGTTAGGTGTTACAGTGTAGCAGTGTAGATTTGAGTTTAACCAAAGTGAAAACTGATTTAGATCCAAAGTTAATGAGGCAAATATTTACCAAAAAGGTAAATACAGTACTTTTGCAACCCCCTGCACCTGAAAGTATTTAGAGGTCATACAGAGGTTGTTTCAAACAGCTTTGCAGTTAATGTTGTGACTATAAATCTCAGTTTTTGCTGTGAATATAATGAGAAGATTGAGTAATATCTAAGTCATGAGTGAAATGTTTGACAATTTAATACAAGCTTTTAAACTCATTACTCAATACTTTTCTTTGCTTTTCCTTCAGAATGGAGCAACAGTTTTAGTTTAAGTCTCATCAAAGTTGGAAATACTTGAAGTGTTTGCAGTCTTTACAGAAGCTCTTGGTTTCAGGAGCGTTGGCACTACCTAGTGATCAAAAGTGTTTTAATACAGTACATCTTTATAGAAGCACCTCGTTAAGTTAACTGCATTCATGTTTAAAGCACAACAACTTTGGTGTTTGATTCAATTAAAACAACAATTTTACATAAACAAAAGTTTATCTAACTCAAAATCTTCAGTCTGCTGAAAACGTTCTGTTAGGACAGAAATACTAACATACTGAATGTCATGATCAAAAAGAAAAGTTAGAACCACCACAAAACAAATTTGTTTTTTTTTTTCCCCCGATTCAATCCACAAAGCAAATSTAGCCTGTCATTTTAAACTCAGGGAACATCCAGCAGTCTTTAACACAGGAAATCAGGTAAGTAAAATCTATGCAAGTCACAGGAGTAAACAGAAACMTGAATACTCCCCAAATTCACAACTAGGCATCAGATTCAGATCTGAGTAGATCTTAAGTAAAAGTTTGCTGATGATGTAATGCAGGGGGGTCAAACTCATTTACACAATGTGGACAAAATTCAAAAGTTGATCCCAACCAAGGGCCAATATCTGTCAATATTTATTGAAAAAAATGTTAGTTTAACCTGGAAAGACTCACACGGAGAAAGAAAGCCGTTAAAAGTTCTATTTGACATGAATGAGTAAGGTTCTTTGGTGCTCGAGCCCCAGCAGAAGACGTGGGTGCTGTGAATTGCTGTAGGCTGACGATCAGCTTAGGTTTCGGATTAAACCCCACCACACACACACACACACACA